ACACACACACACACACACACACACACACACACACACACACACACACACGAAATACCCAGTACAACATTGACGTAGAAATGAAAGTCTCAGAGACCTTCTCTCCATCAATTCCTGGGGCACCAGGCAATCCAAGTTCACCCTGGAAAGGAACAAAGTACAAAAGGAATTGTGCCTTCCTCACCTGCCAGTGGGTTAGTGGTCCAAGGTGGGAATTGCTGTCCCTGATCAGCTCACAGCCCTGGGGTCAGGACCTTGCTGATGGGCTTCAGTGCCCACTGCCTCCCTCTGTGTATTCAGCCTGAAGGACAGCGGGAGCTGGTGGCTGCCCATGCCAGCTGGAGTGCTTAAGATTAGGACTACAGGGTTCAGTGACTTGTTCTAGTCATGGAGTCCAGGGTTGCTAATGTCAGAACCAGAGCCTGCCCACCCTGGGTTCTGTGTCCTGAGACAAGGGGTGGTGATGAACCGGGACAAGCCACAGAATGGTTGTGTACATCCTGGGACACTGTCTGTCCCAAGGGGTCCATTGTTCAGTTTTAGGCTCTCTACTCAAGAGCTAGGGTCTAAAACAGAGATGCGATTTAGGAAGGGGCAGGATCCCTTTCTTTGAGTCCCATAAATCAGGCTAGTATGGCAGGAGAAAATTAGGGGTGTGTTTATCAGAGAGGAGAGGGCAGGTGGGACTTATAGATGAATACCCGGGGGTTCCCTGAATGCAGCCAAACTGACCTTGGGTCCAGGGATCCCTGGTGGCCCCGGAGCTCCTTGTGGCCCAGGAGGACCCTGTGTGCAAAAGATCAAACCAGTTATGATTAGACTCCACTGACCACCTAGCCTTACCTCCTCAGGTCAACTCCCCAGCATCTTACTTCCTACCCAGTCAAATTGGCTCTTACAGCATGCAATTTGGTTTGTCCTTCAAGTCTACAGAGGGGCTAGTAAGAGGGTACTGACTATTGGAGGAGACACTAGTGCTCATGGCTGGAGGCCCCTCTGTCCTCAGAGAAGCTCTCCTCAACATGACTTTCTTTATAACACTCTCCTGCTTAAGATTTTGCAGTGACTCCCCTTGTCCCTCAAAAGAAGCTTAAGTCTCTTTCCAGCTTTCAAGACAGGTCAAATATGCAACCCGAACAATGACTTGGTCTTGCTTGCTCTGCTGGTCCTGTGACCTCCCTGACCATCTGGATCTCTTGTCTGCTGTCCCAGAAGTTCCCCAGCTACACAGTAGAGGATGGGTCAACACTGTCTCAAGCGCTGACCTCATCCTAAGCTCTTATACCAACGCACTTAGATGTCCGACTCATGCCTGCACCCAGAGGTCACACCTTGTCCAGCTCTTCTGATGCTGTTTCAAGTTCTCCTCTTCCCAGCAGGCCCCCTTTCTGTTGCTGTCCCGTGGTGTTGTCTCTGGACTTATTTCCTCCACCCTTCCCACTTTCTGACTCAGTACCCATGTCCACAATGAGTTCCATGCTTCAAGCTCTCCCCGTAATAATGCTCACACACTTACACAACTCCATCTGGTCATTCCCAAGACACTGGGAGTTTGACATCCTCACGCTCAAGAACCAGCTAGAGCATCCATTGCCCATGACATTGAGTCCTCCTCCCACTCTGGTACCCACACCTCCTGGCTCCTTGTACTCATAAGGATTCTACCACGAATTTCCCATAAAGCCTGGGATAAACCATACAACTCAGGCCCATATGGCAACATTTCACGCCATGCCACACCACGCCACACCACACCACACCATGCAGGCCAATGAGGGCCATAGTTACCATCAACTTGTACTTCCCAGAGGCCTGTGGAAGGTAACTGGAATTGATGCTTAGGCAGGGTCAGGCATTAATACCCACTTCAGTCTCTGATAGCTACCTCACCCTATCATATATCTCTCCCTGAACCCAAGAGCAATTGGCACCCATCTCTTTTTGGATTGGTGTCCAGAGACCACATGACTTCCAAAGCCCCTTGGTTAAGCTTGTCCTTTTGGTCCCCTACGGTAATTATGAGAAGCCCAGCTCTCCTAACAGTGGTGCCTGGGGAATCCCCAGAGGCACAGTTGGGTTTGGTGAGAGTGCTTTCCTTTTTTGTCTTGGCCTGTGGGAAGCTCAGGGCTCCTGGAGTCACATTCATAGAAAGTCTCTCAGCACTGTGTGGATCGCCACACAGGACCAATTTTCATATTACGTGTCTGATGAAACCCAGGTCTCTGTGTTAAACTGTCCTTGGTCCCATAGGTAAGTCACAGTGAGCCATTGCTCCCTCAGCAATGGACATATGAGTGCATCCAGGGCCCAACAGGAACATGCTTACCTTCAGGGCATCTAAGATCCTGCCATCGTAGTCGATCACCACTGTGTCACCTTGCTCTCCCTTGAGGCCTGGGTGACCCTGAGGCAGAGAGGAAGAGCTGCATCATGGGTGACATACAGCTATCTCCATCACATCCAGAGACAAAAAGCCCAAGAGTTGTCACCTAGGCCACAGGTATACTGTCCACTCATTAAAGGCGACATGGGGGAAGTGGCAGGGATCCTGGGGCCAACTGAAGAACATGCTACCACCTGGGTTACCTATGATTGGCCTTCATGTGGATATTCAAATCCAATGACATCTAGATCTCCGGGAAAATAAAAATCCCAATACTACTTATTTTGTTTTACTTTTTGGGACAGGGTCGCACTGTGTAGCCCTATCTATCTTGGAACTTGCTATGTAGACCCTGCTGGCCTCTGATCTCCCTGCCTTTGGCTCTCAAGTGCTGGGATAAAAGGCATGCACCGCTATGTCCAGCTTGTGTGTGCATTAGACAGGATGTTAGGCCAGGCTAGCCTCAAACTTAGTTTAGGGTGGCCTTGAACTTCTGATTTTTCTGTCTCCACCTTCCAAGTGCTGAGACTACAGACAACAGGTGTGCACTCCCGTGCCTAGTTTGTGCAGTGTTGGGGGCTGAACCTAAACCTGAGCCCAGGGCTTCATGAGAAGCACTCCAGGGCCCAAACTACCTCCGCAGCCTAGAAAGCCTTACTTTGATCGGAAGACTTTTAAAAATGTGTAAATAAAACAACCCTAACCACTTCTTCTAAGACACTGTGTTAACCAGTGGAGGATGGTTCTGCCTTATTGACTGAGTCAGGGACTCTCAATTCAATCTAGAGCTTGCTGATATGACTGGTCTTACAGACCAGCTCAATCTGGGGATTCCATCTCCACCTTCCACTGAATTGTGTGTTGGCCACCATGCCCATCCAGTTGGTTGTCACGCTTGCTCGGTAAGTGCTTTTGCTGAGCCACCTCCCCAGCTCCTGGAGGAAGCGGGTGTGATAGTCTGGGAAAACATAGCCAGGGAAGGAATGCTATCATCAGCATAAAGACATGTCTACACCATGCAGGACAGTTATCTAGGGTCTGCAAGGAACATGAGAAAGGAGAGGGCCCCTCACTCTTCCTGGCTTCCACTCTGATCTCTCGCTGACTGACATCTGGGAGTTTTCATAGCAGACAAGGCCATCTGCAAAAGGAGCTGTTCTCTGTCTGAGAAATGCCACAGACCAGATTGCTAAAAAAACTGCACATGAACTATACCTCAAGTTCAACCTCCTTGTGGCATATGTATAAGAAGTCCTATGATCTATGATCTCTCCTGACTCCCTTCTCCAGCTGCAAGCCTTCAGTCTACAAAAAGAAAAGGTCTCTTCAAGGACAGACAAAATATTCCAGCACACGGTTTTCCTAACGTCTTAGTTTAGTCCTAGGTTAAGTAGCTTTAAAATGCCAGATCACACGTATAGCTGACCCACTTAGATGCGTTCCTCTCTAAATGCCTGCACTTGGGTTTCTCCTAGTACATATTTTTCTGCTTCATAGACACACTCACTAACTTTGCTTTGCTCTTGGGGCTAGAGAGTTCACTGCTCTTGCAGAAGACCTGAGTTTGGTTCTCAGCACCCACATAAGGCCACTCACGACCACCTGTAACTCCAACTCCAAGGGATGTGATGCCCTCTTCTGGCCTCTGAAGTCACTGCCCTCACAGGCACAACCCCCCCCCCAAACACAGGAGCATGGATACACACACAATAAAAAAAATGACATCGTAGTGGATGTCAAGGACCAGGGTGTACCTGAGTTGAATCCCTCAAGCTCTGAGGGGGGCTCCTTAGGCTAGACTGATGGCAGCTTTGAGCTACATTTCCAGGTGCCGGTGACACATGCATTGGTTACAAAAGATCTGGGGTCAGGGGCTGGAGAGATGGCTCAGCAGTTAAGAGCACTTGCTTTTCTTGCAGAGGGCTTGGAAAAGCAAGACCGCCCCAAAGCAGGCAAAGTCATGCCTAATGATAAACGGAAGACCAATGTTTGAATATGCAAAGAAGATTTTAGAGGCGGATACATCTGCCTGGGAAGGGAGAAAGAGCTCTTACTTAACACAAGTGGGATTCTTGCCTTTATACACCCATATTTTAATTTTCACTGTAGGCATGTGTTATGAAAAATTGTACAATCACTAAAAATTTTAAGAAATAAGATGCCTTGGGCTTATTGCTTCACCAGTCCTCTGGGACCCTGTTGGGGACAAAGGACTTCTGAAGCTACTGGGACCTTGGATCCAACTGCTGTGACCAGAAGGAATGCTACTTACCCGGGGCCCTGTGGTTCCATCTGTGCCTGGGTGGCCGGGTTCTCCCTGTGGAGACACATGGATGCCTACTGGTGTGTGAGATTTGTATATCCTATCTCACCTCTGGCCCCTTCTTTCCCAAAAAGTCTGGGGCCCATATGCTGGGGCCTCATAGTCTATATTATAAGACTATCCTTCCACACTGAGGAGTAGTGGAGATTCTTAGGCCCAGGAGCCCAAGACTACATGATAGCTGACCCCAGAGCTAGGCCTGAATGAGGCCTTGTCACTGGCTCTGAATCATGGGCCACCCTCCCTCAGACCACCCTACTTGTGAGTCAAAGGGAACCCCCTGGCCCAGGCCCTCTGGGACTTGCTTTTTATTTGTTTTTTTTTTTTTTTTTTCGAGACATGGTTTCTCTGTAGCTTTGGAGCCCGTCCTGGAACTAGTTCTTGTAGACCAGGTTGGCCTCGAACTCACAGAGATCCACCTGCCTCTGCCTCTCAAGTGTTGGGATTAAATGCGTGCGCCACCACCACCCAGCTGAGAGCTTTTTAAAAGTGCAGATTAAGGGGAGATCACATTGCCCCTGGTGACTGGATGACAGTGTCAATGGCCCCTCAGGTCCTGGGCAGAGAGCATTGTGATATCATCACCTTCAATCCTGGGGCACCGTCCACTCCATTCTCTCCTTGGGGCCCCACATCCCCTGGCTCACCCTGAAATGGAGAAATTATCAGTGAAAGCAGGCAGAGGCGCTAGCCTGGGGCCTCTGGACCTTGTGCTCAGGCCACATGGTGAACGTGGCCCTTCTGGGCTGGGGGATGAAGCTCGAGGCTCTCTCTAGTCTGAGGGATTTAGGACCATGACCATCCCCTTTTGGTCTGGGTCTTGGGGTAGCTCAAGAGACTTTGTGCGTGTGCCTGTGTGTAGGCACACACGTATGTGAATGTACATTTATGTGTGGAAGTTAGGGAAACTCTGAGTGTTTCTGTCCTGGAACTCTCAGAGATCCACCTGCCTCTGCCTTTGGAGTGCTGGGACTTAGTGAATGTAACACTACACCTAGCCTCCCTTTAAAGATGTGGGTCCTGGGGATCAAATTCATGTCCTATGCTTTCAAAGCAGGGATTTTTCTGACAGTCATCTCTTCTGTCTTTTTTTTTCTTCTTTTTCTTTCTTTTTTTTTTTTGAGTCAGAGTCTCACTTTGTAGCCCAGGCTAGCCTCAAACTCAGGTCCTCCTGCCTCAGCCTTCTGAATGTTGAGATTATGGGTGTGTACCACCATGCTTGGTCCTAGAGACATTTTGGAGACAGGCTGGCTAGGGGCTTGGTGGCTGTGACAAAGGGTTTGGGGAGCAAGATGTGAAGATAACATCCTGCTTGCAGCCTGGCACTAGACAGGGGGTGGAGGGACTAAGGTGGGGACCAAGAGGACTTAGGATAAGGGGAGACAGATGGCTTAAATGAGAAACCACACTGCAGGCTAAGTGTTCAGGGTGCCCACTGCTTCCTCCCTCTGGCCTGCCCTGGGAATTGGCCCTAGCCCCATGGTGTGAAAGGGCCAGGATAGGAGCATCTCTAGGTAGATGCCAACTTTGGAGGGTGGAGGGTGGTAGACTTTGAGGAAGAGGGTTGTATACTTACCTTGGGCCCTGGGGGTCCAGGGATTCCTGGCTGACTGGGCATCCCATCATCCCCCTGAGAAGACAACAGCTGAAGTCATCACACACGGACACTTTGACCACATCTTTGAGCGGTTCAGCTGGCCCCTACCTGCGCTAGATTCACTACACAGCTGTCTGGTCCAACCACTAGTGGCAGGCACTGCCCACACTAACCCTCTATGGCAGGGGCAGGTCAGAACCATCTCAGTCCCTACAAGCAGCCTAGAAACCAGCCTCAGGAGGTTTCGGCAGACGCAGGGGATGGACAAGTGAAAGGAAGCAAATTCACTCATTCACCAAGCAGCTGGTGAGCATCCCTTAGGGACCAGAGCACACACGGTCCCTGATCCACAGACACATGAAGTGCTTAAGTGCTGGAGGGAGACCGTGGGAAAGGCACATGGAGAGGGACCTGGGCACAGCCATCTGGAGCATGGGGCGGTTTTGCTGAGACTTGGATGGGAAGAGGTCACAAAGTGGAGAACATTCCAGGTTAGTGCTTGGTTCTCAAACTTATATGTTCAGGGATCCAGAAGGCTGACTAATTAGACCCCAGCCTCACCCAAAGTCTCAGGTGAATCTAGGGTCAGCCTGGAGTTTGCTTTCTTTTTCCCTTCCCTTCCCTTCCCTCCCCTCCCCTTCCCTCCCCTCCCCTCCCCTTCCCTTCCTTCCCCTTTCATTCTCTCCTCTTATCCCCTCTTCCTCTTTCCCTTCTTCTGATATAGGGTCTCACTTAGCCCAGGCTGGCCTTGAATTCACTATGTAGCCAAGGATGATTCTCCTGCCTCCACTTGCAAAGTGCTAGGATTACAGGTGTGCATCACCACACCTAGCTTATGCTGTGCTGTGGGTCAGACCCAGGGCTTTGTGCTATGTGGGCATTCTGCCACCCAAGCTATTTCCCTAGTAACAAGCATTTGCATTGCTGACAAGGCCCCAAGTGATAGTGGCGGTGCTGGTCCCAGGACCACACTTGAAGAACTATGATCAAGCTCTGAAGAGGGTGTGGCTGTGATGAAGGGTAAGAGTAAGTGAGTGAGTGAACCAACAACACAGGACAGGGCCTCACCACAGCGAGAACTTGGGTCTGCGGAAGAAAAGGACCCCTTTCCCGTCGGGAAGCCCTGTCTCATTTTTGTCCCCAGCCTGGCCCTTCTCTCTAGCCACAGGGTCTTCTCACCTTCTTTCCAGGAGTACCTGACAGTCCCTGAAGACACAAGATGAGGGTGCAAGGGAGGGGTCAGTGCTGTTGGAGAGTGGCCTGCACGCCAGAACTCTGTCCCTTCTGGTGCAAGTGACACCAATGACCTACAGCCCGTGTTTGTCCAGGGCTCCTGGACTCGTTAGACAGGTGAGGTGGGGAGTCAGCCAGGCTTAGATTCCTGTGCTGAGCTTGGAGAAGTCACTGTTCTTTAAGATGGGGAGGGGACACCCCCAGCTTCAGATGGGTGTTGGGGTAGAGCAGGCTCGCTCACTGCAGCCCTTTCTCCATCCTCCATCTGAGAGCCCTGTATCCTGCACAGAGACTTCAGGTTTCCTTCCTGTGCCAAGCACTGCCCAAGCCCAAAGAGGAGACCCTGGCATGGGGAGGGACTTCAGAAGTGAATGTGGCTGAAGACATGTGACCACACAAAAACCTGCAAAGCTAACCTCGCTATAGCTAAGAAGCAATTGAGAAGCCCGGCAGTGGGGGATGGAGCGTAAATGTGGAATTAGACAGAAGAGTACTAGTTAGGACTAGAGTGAACACAGAGAGTACTAGTTAGGACAAGAGAGTGAGCAAGCTAGGAAAGGTCACGAACTTTTCTAGTGCCAACATGAAAACACTGAGTGCTAGAAGGTTTGGTCCAGATCGAGCTGTGGAGGAGAAGCTGCCAAGGCAGTATGGGGATCAGTGACTGCCAGGGGCCGGGGAGGAGGACAGGTGAAGAGGTGAACATAGGGTTTGTGTGTGTGTGTCCGTGTGTCCGTGTGCATGTGTGTGTGTGTGTGTGTGTGTGTGCGTGAGCACATGTGGTATGTGTACATGTGTGAACATGTGTGTGCCATGTAGTATGTATGCATTTGTGTCCCTGCACACACATGATATCACATGTCTCACTCTTGCTCTCTGCTTTTTTTTCTTTTCTTTTTTGCCTTGTGACTGTGTCTTGAAGCTTGTTTTGCCTAGGCTGATCATGAGGTTTTTTGGGGTCTGTCTGTCTCTGCCTCTCAAAGCTGGGGTTATAGATACACATGGCCATGCCTGGCTTTCTCCTTGGGTGATGGGGATTCGAACTCATGTTTAAAGGGCAACTGTTTTTACCCACTGAACCATCTCCCCAACCCCCAGCACAGGGGATCTTTAAGACAATACAATTACTGTTAGATATGTTACTGGAGGGCCCAGGTCATTATACATTTGTCCCACGGCTGCACTAGGCACCCCCATGAACTATGGACTTTGGGGACAGTATGTCAATATAATTTCCTCAATTGTGACACATGTACCACTCTGACAGGGGATGCTGACAACAAGGGAACTACAGGAGAGGCAGAGGCGGTGGGGTGTGGGGGAGGGCAGGGTGAGTGTGTGCGGACCATACAAGAAAGCTCTGTACCTTGCCCTCAGTTTTGCTGTGAACCTAAAACTACGTAGATAATAAAGTTGAAAACAACAACAATAACAACAACAACAAAACCCCAAAACCAGAACTAGGCAGCAGTAGTGCACACCTTTAATCCTAGCACTCAGGAGCCAGAGACAGGTGGATCTCTGTGAGTTCAAGGTCAGCCTGGTCTACAGAGTGAGTTCCAGGGCAGCCAGAGCTACACAGAGAAACTCTGTCTCCAAACACCATCACCATCACCAAAGTCAATCAATAAAACAAACAAACCACAAAACAAGCAAAACAACCCCCCACAAACCAGAAACAACAACAAACTCAAACAGCCACGGTGTCTCATGATTCAACCCTCACTGTCTGATGTGAAGTCCAGGCAGGAAAGGTCTGTCATGCCCCATTTAACTGTGAGTAAATTGAGCCCTAACATGCAGTGACCTGTCTGTCCTTTGAACTGAGTCTCCTGACTTCACCCCCTCAGTGTCTCTGGGGAAGTTGGGAGAAGAAGGTGGGGAGTGAGGCTAAGGGGAAGGAGGGGCACTGAGTACCCACCTTTGGTCCTGGAGGTCCCTTGGGGCCCTGGAAGAAAAGAAAAGAGGTGTTAGAATGGGGGTGAAGGCAGGAAGGTCAGGCTCGAGTTTAAGGTCATCCTTGGCCACTTAGTGAATTTGGGCCCAGTCTGGGATACACGAGAGGAGAGATGGCTCAACCAGGAAAGGTACTTGCTGCCCAAGCCTGATGATCTTAGTTTAATCCCATTGACCCGACCCACACAGTGGGAGGAGACAATCAACTTCTCCAAGTTGTTCTCTGACCTCCATGCTGCTGTTGTAGTGTGTGTGCCCAGCACAGCTACACACACACACACACACACACACACACACACACACACACACACAGAGCATAAAAATAAACTCAACCCCCAAAATAAAACAAAGGAAAATAAGCCAAGACTTAAAACTAAGCAAAATAATAAAAAAAAAACCCAGGGAGCTGGAGAGACAGCTCAATGGTTCGGAGCACTAGCTCTCTTCCAGAGGTCCCAGGTTCAAATCCCAGCATCCACATGGCAGCTCACAACTGTCTGTAACTCCAGTTCCAGAAGATCTGACATTCTCACACAGACACAACAACATTTCACAGGAAACAAAGAACAACAACAACAACAATACCCTCTCCCAAACCCCCAAAACAGTGCAAGGGGATTTGAAGCCTTCTTCAGGGTATCAAAGGAACTATGCACCCATGTGGTACACAAGTTTATATACAGGCTAAAGATCCATATACATATGATGTGGGATTCCCCTTTATATGCTGTGAATATGTTTTATTACCATTGGTTAATAAAGAAGATGCTTTGGCCTATGGCAGGGCAGAATAAAGCTAGGCAAGAAAACTAAACTGAATGCAGGGAGAAAGAAGACAGAGTCAGGGAGATGCCATGTAGCTGCTGAAGGAGAAAGACACTGGAACCTTATTGGTAGGCCATGGCCTTATGGTGATACACAGATTAATAGAAATGGGTTAATTTAAGATATAAGAGCTAGTAGGAATATGTCTAAGACGTTGGCCAAGCAGTGTTGTAATTAATGTAGTTTCTGTGTCTGGGTGGTAGGGAGACTAAAGTGCAGTCTCTGACTACAAACATAAAATAATAAGATGATAATAATAAACAAAGTAAAAAAGAAAACCCAAACCCAAATAACAAAACACCTCCTCCCCCCAAAAAAAAACAAAAGAAGAAAGGGAACAAAATTTTGACACATGCCAAAACTGTATACACTTCAAGGAAACTGCTCAACGTGGGGAAAAAGCCATCCTCAAAGTTCTTCATGAGGCCTAGAGAGGTGGCTCAGTGGTTAAAAACACTGAGCCTTCCAGGTCCTCCTGGGTCTGTCTTGTCATTTTCCTTTTATCAAGGGTGACACCACATCCCAGAGGAGGTAGGCGTCACTAGAAGTAGAGATGCTCAGCCAAGTTCTCGGACAGACTCCTTGTGCCTTGAGCAGTGACTGTGTCAGGGCTCCAAAGGTAGCAGGCGATCTCTAGACTCTCACCCAGGAAGGGAGGTTCTAGAACTCTGTCCAGGCTGGGCACAGCCCGTCCACATCCCCATTGCCGGCAGAGAAATGGGCACACAAGCATGTACCACCTACAGAATCCTGGTTGGTATGTGATGGGGTGGGTGAGGGTTTACAGATTCAGAGTCACCATGAGACATGCACCCTGGGTGTGTCCGTGAGGACATTTCCAGAAAGATTCAACTGAACAGGGACGGTCCACTAAATATGGGCTTCACTGTCCCATGACCTGGGGTCCTGGACTGAATAACAGGAGAAGGTGGTTGAGCACCCATAACTCTGCTTCCTGATAGTAGACACATGGTGATTGGCTGCCTATGCGCCTGCCACCACGCTTCCCCACCATGATGAACTGTACCCTGGGACTACGAGCAAAAATTAACATTTTTTACTTGACGTCTCCTTTGCCAAGTACTTTGTCACGGCAATGAGGAAAGCAGCTCTTACAGTGGGAAAGAGACTTCCACCTCCGGGAGCCACATCCCGGCACTCCAGCCTTGCAAACACCCCAGACACTCACCATCTCGCCGTCTTGTCCAGGCTCTCCTTTGGGACCCTAAGGAGGTATGTGACAGACAGTAGCAGTGAGCGATCCAAGGATATCACATTAACTGAGCCTGAATCTCAAGACATGGGCAAGGGCTCTCAGCAGAGCAACCAAATTCACCTTCTTTCAACCCCAAGAAGTGATTGTTATTGTCCCCACATCACAAATGAGACGTTTGAGGCTTTGGGAGTTAGGCACCTAACGTGACAGTGGATGGATGGGCCAATTGAGATAACCTGTCCGACAAGAGCCCCTGGTGGTAGTCTAGTAGATTCTGTACCGGATGGAAGGAAAGATTGGAGTCTCTGGGCTAGGATGACAGAACTATTTTCTGTGGACTGGCCTCACATGACCTTGGGGAGAAACTGAGGCTCATTAGTATTGAGGAAGAGGGAGCAGGGAGAGGAACAGGGGTTGGTGGAGAATTGCAGACAAAGGGCTCATCTGTGAGTTTCTGGGACAGAGGTGAGGTGGGAATTTAGGCTGAGCATGCAACTCAAGGTTAGGGTCCATGGGTCTTCTAGAGTTAGACTTGGGCTTGGGGTCACGTTCGGGGGTAGAGTGTGGATAATAGTCTGAGCGGGGACATGGGACCGGATTTGAGGTTAAGGTCCTGATTAGCACTGATTAGGAAGCAGGTCTGTGTCAGATTTAAGGATTGGTTGGTGTGAGGACTGATATGGGTTGTGGATGGGCTTGGGGTTAGAGTTGGGTCTAGGCTGAGTGTGTGCATTGGGTAATGGTTGGTGTTGGGCCTACTAGGAATAATGCTGGTTTGGAGTTGGTTCTAGGGATCAGGGTTCAGAGTGTGTGCCAATATAGGACCAAGCCTTGGGGGCCCCAGTTCTGTGCCTTCTCTTACCGCTGGGCCTTGAGCTCCTCTGGGGCCATCTTTCCCAGTGTCACCAGGAGGACCCCGGGCCCCAGGTGGTCCAGGGGGCCCAGGTGGTCCTGCAGCTCCATCTTGCCCTTGGGCTCCCTGAAAGACATATGATTTGACTTGAGACTGAGGGCGAAGGTGACTATGAGGACTTTCAACTTCCAGAAAGGCTTTCTCAGATGGACAAGCCCTGTGCTTTCCTTTTTCCCAGCCCTTGAGGAGGGCACAAGGCTTTAATATTGGGCTCTGGCTGCTTCTTGGTAGCTGCAGGAGGGGACCCTTGGTGGACCTTGCTGCCACCTTCTCAATATCTGAAGCCTGGATCTGTTGTCAAAATGATGTATGTGGGGTAGGTAAGACAGAGTGTCTCCTGCAAGAATGTCCTGGTTGATCCTTTCTTGCTACATTAAAAGTGGCTTTTATGCTCTCATACAACTACATGTGGATACCTGCAGTAGCTTTCTTTGCCCAACATGGAAACTCTCAAAATATCTTCCCACAGGTGAGAGGCTGAGTCATGGGTCATAGTATGACAGGCCACTCAGCAGTAAACAAAAAACAAGAACAGGCAAAACCCAGTACCTGGGAGACTGAGGCAGGATGATTGCTGTTAACTTAAGGCCAGCCTGAATTACAAAATGAGTTCCAGAGCCAGGTAGTGGTGGCACACACCTTTAACCCCAGCCCTCTGGAAGCAGAGGCAGGCAGACCTCTGTGATTTCAAAGTCAGCCTAGTCTACAGAGTGAGTTCTGGGACAGCCAGGGCTACACAGAGAAAAAACAAAAAAACAAAAAAAGTCTTAAAAAAACAAAAACAAAAACCAACCAACTGATCCACCATACAAAAACAACCCCCAAACAACCAAAACAACCAACCAACCAACCAACCAACCAACCAACCAATCAAACAAACCCAAAATGAGTTCCAGGCCAGTCTTGGCTACAAAGTGAGGTCCTGTCTCAAAAATAAAAACAGAGCCAGGAGGAGCCCAAGGTCATCCTTAGCTACAGGGTGAATTTGAGTCCAGTTTGGGATACTTGAGACCCTGTCTCAAAAAATCTAAAACAGGGCCAGTGAGATGGCTGAAGCTGCAGACACTTGCTGCCAGAGTCTGCTGATCTTAGTTTGACCCCTGCGACCCATACAAGTGGAAAGAGAGAACCAACTCCTTCAAGTTGTTCTCTGACTTCTATGCTTGTGCTGTGCCGTGTGTGTCCCTAAATACATTTACACACATACAAAACATACATGTTGCTAAAAAACCCCCAAACTGTAAACTCCAAACCAAAACAAAAATTAAAACGAAAGCAAACCCCCATCCAAAAAAAGAAAAAGAAAAAGAAATGCATTTTGATACATGAAAAACTTGTGTACTGTAGGGAAACTAGGCTAAATGGAAAAAAAAAAGTTCCCCAAAGTTACACATGGACCTAGAGAGAAGGCTCAGCTGTTAAGAGCACTTACTGCTCTTCCAAAGGACTCAGGTTCATTTCCCAGCCAACATGGCAGCTCATATCTGCCTGTAACACCAGTTTCAGGGGATCTGATACCCTTTGGCCTCTGCAGACATTATATATATGCATGCTACACATCAATCAATCATGCAGGCACACACACATACATAAATAAAAACATTGAATCTTAAAAATTACTTTAAAAAGTTACACGCTGTATGGTTATGATTGCACATAACCGGTATTCTTCTTCTTCTTCTTTTTTCCCTAGACAGGATTTCTCTGTGTAACAGCTCTGGCTGTCCCAGAACTCGTTTTGTAGACTGGGCTGACCTCAAACTCACAGAGATCCGCCTGCCTCTGTCTCCTGAGTGCTGGGTTAAAGGTGTGTGCCCAGCACCTGATATTCTTGAACAGGAAAAGTTAAACAGATGGAAATTCGTGGTTGCAGGGACTGAGGATGAGGGAGGAAGGTGATTGTATGTAGGAAAGGAGAGCACGGGGGGGGGGAATCTTTGTGTGTCCATCTGCACTAACACTACACAGAAGAAAAGATTCCTGTGCGCGTTCATGCGTGCGTGTGTATACACACACACACACACACACACACACACACACACACACACGGTTTTCTGTATCCCAATAATAGGTTTTCCCCACTCAGTAAGTCAGACCAAGCTAAATCTATAAAGTAGGGAATAGGTTTATTTGAGCAAAGCATCTCCTGGGTGGGTTCTCCAGTCCCAGAGAGAAGCCAGAGGAGAAGCCATACTGAATTAAAGCAGGGAGTTTACAGAGCCTGTAGGCAATGGTGATGACATCACAAGCTGGGTTTGTGGGCTTAGGTGGGGATTTGGGCTGCTGGCAGCAACAGGGGAGGAAGTTGCAACAGTCGCCAGGAATGAGAAGTGGGATTTTTGGTGCCCTTTTTTTTGTTGGAGATTCTCTGAGAGGGTGAGGTTTGGAGAGAGAGAGAGAGAGAGAGAGAGAGAGAGAGAGAGAGAGAGAGAG